AGTTATATTGACTATTAGAGATCTTTAAGAAATAAAAGATCGGAGAGAAACGAAGAAAAACGACGAGAATATACACACAACATCGCAACTTTTTAAATATGATTATCAAACTTATTAAACTTTATATTTTGTTTTAGGTTTTCTTTAATTTATTTCGGAGCGTGAAATGAAAGTAAATAATTATTGCGTTCAAATAATTTATAAGAAATGTTGATAAACCATCATAAAACTATTCAAGGCTCTCTTCAATTTTACCTTTTCTAATATAGATTTTCACGAAAATATTCAAATATATCTAATTTGATGATTAGGAAAGAAAATCATGATGAAACTTTGAGAGAATAACTGAGATGGAATTCAAGACGAGCATTGTTCTTCAATACATCTCAGTAAACTTCTTAAGATCTCTCTCTCTCTCTCTCTCTCTCTCTCTCTCTCTCTCTCTCTCTCTCTCTCTCTCTCTCTCTCTTGAATGTTTCCTTTATACGGGGAAAATGAACGCATACAATGGCGATTTATTCCTTAAATGTTGAAAAATTCTAAACGAGACTTAGGGTAAAACTGAGAATTAAATCCCTAAAATGAAATAGTAATAGAAATAAGTATGCGATTAAGAATATATATATATATATATATAAATAATTTTAATATACATATATAATTTTAATATGCATATATAATTTTAATATGCATATATAATTTTAATATATATATATATATATATATATATATATATATATATATATATATATATATATATATATTACTATTAAAGTTATTATAGTGGATACTTCGTGTTTGAAATAAACACCCCATTTTTTATTTATTAAACAGTGTGTGTTACGTCTATCGGCCCACGCATTCGAGAAATTTTTGTAAAGAAAATGCGTTCTCTAGTAGAGATCGAACCTGAGTGCACTTATGTAATGGAATAGATACACGATCCATACACGGAATCTGTTTCTATGCAATCGTTCATTATAATAAAATAAAAACATAAATACTCTTTACTTCTCTGTTATTTTCCATTTAGAAGCAAAACCCATCGAGAAACAGGAACCATGGGGATTTAGTGTTCATATTACCGTTCTCATTCCTAGATTTCAAGATGCATTTGATGTTATACGCTTATTTAGCCATTACCCCCTTTTTCCCAAGGAAAAGAATTTCTTTTCACGCTGTGTTTGACTTGCTTGTTTTTATTCCTGATTTGTGCGTGTGTGTGTGTTTAAGGGACGCGCATCTCTGTGTACGTACTCTCTCTTCTTATTACAGCAAATGCATGTGTAGTTGTCTAAATTATCGATACAGAGTTTTTTTGTTTTTTTTCTTAAGACTTATTAATGGGGAAAAATAGTCGGAAATTGATCATTTCCATTTCTTTAGACGTCGTATATTTTTTGTAGCTTTAAAATTAATTCACCAAAATGATTCACACCTTTTAAGCATTAAAAAGTATTAAAACGTGGGACGGGTTTAGTTTCCAACTCTGAAATTGAATGAATTTTTATCAAGAAAAGAAATTCTGCGACAAACGATTTTACTTATATTTAATTAGACTTTTTAGGTTTACATAGTTTGTGACAACAACTTCAGTTTAAAATGCTTTAGATCTTTTCTTGATTGATGGCTTATTTGTTATTTTCTTTCATAATGACCCGGTATTATGTGCTTGTTGGAACTTGAATTTCACAACGTTTTTAGTTTAAAACAATATAAAAACTTTGACCAAGACGAATCATCATGACAACTGTTATCATTATTCTATAGAAAATCATCCACACGAAAGAGTTTATAAGTGAAAAGAGGCAATGTAGACATGCACGAGTGGATCTCTATACACTTGTGACTGTATGCAAAATTTCTTATGTGCGGTCAATAAAATGTAATCGTTTAACGCCCTCATACGCTTTATTTTCAGAACAGCGTGCGTGCGCGCGTGTGTGTGTGTGTGTGTGAAAGAAAGAAAGAAAAAGAAAGAAAGAAAGAAAGAAAGAGCTATAAGATTTTCAGAAAACTGTAAGTTTGCAAACATATCCTTATGCAAAAAAGATGTCGACAGAAAGGGGTTATGGCTACGTGTTAGTTAAAAGTTATATCTTCCACTTTCACAGGCATCCATTCAACATGTGTTGCAAACTTAACACTATGCCTCACTGTGACTAGCACCATATGAATATATTTTTTACTTTACATTAATTATCACGATTTTCTAGGATACTTATAGTACCTTTGATTTGCAGTAAAGGTCATTCGACAAAATTATTAAGATTCTAAATTATTTGAAAGGAGATTCAGTCAGTGAATCGTCGATATCTGAAGTATTATTTTGCCATGTAAAAAATTATGAGTTACGACAATCAGTTTTTGTGTGTTCTGTTGCAGAATAGCCGAAATACATGTGTGTCAATAAACAAAAAGTTAAAGTTTTACCAAATTCTTCAAATTAGTTTTGAAAAATAATATTTCTAATTAAATTCTATCAGGTAATTTTGAGATGGTTTAAATTTAAATTAAATCAGCAACCAAAATTAGAGAATAAGATTTGCTTTCCCAAATACATAGACAGAAAAAGGAGAAAAACTGATAGTAATTTACGGAATCTCGTGTTTTTCGTTCGTGACAATAATCTACGGCCATTAATTATAATTCCAACCGACTGACTTCAGGTTTACTTCCCAAAATCTGAGAAATCGTACAAAAATCCTTTTTAAAAAATTAATTAATTAAAAAAATCAACAACCGACAATAAGCCGCTTGTTGGATAATCATTCAGGAATCTAATAATGTAGATGCTCAATAATCATAACAGGTCCTTAAGTTTACATTCAATGATTGAGATTAGACAGAGAGAGAGAGAGAGAGAGAGAGAAATTTGAACAAACTAAGAAAGAAAGAAAGAAAGAAAGAAAGAAAGAAAGAAAGAAAGAAAGAAAGAAAAGGAAGGAAGAAAGAAAGAAAGAAAGAAAGAAGGAAGAAAGAAAGAAAAACAGATTTAGATAGATAGATAGATAGATAGATAGAAACAGACTAAGATACGCAGAAAGAAAAAACTAAAAAGAATAAACTAAAGTAAAATTGTCAATGTCTAGAAATTCATTTTACAAATAAACACTTACTTCTGAAACAACAAATTTCAATATTCATAAAACTCGATTATTTTATGCAGATAAGTAGTAAAATGAAAAATAGAGCGAGTTAGTGTGGCTACTTATAGAAATAGTAAGACAATTTATTACTGTGAATGGCAAATGCTCAGCAGCGCACACACGCACAAGCATAAGGACAAATATGCAAGAACAGATACAAATGCACACGTGCTTAAAAGAAAGGAAGAAATTGAACGTGTGGCATGTTTTGACTGATAATGCAACTTCAATGAAGAAGCGTGTTGGAAAAAAAATCTAATCTGCCAAAATTAATGTCTAAAATTGCATTTACATACACATATTTTACACACTTGCTCGCGCACACTTACACAACTGGAAACATAAAATTGTGCCGTGAAGTCTGAGGGTACATGTTGGGGGTGTATAGGTAATAACTGGTGGTAAGATCATTTTCATCAAGAATAGGTTGAAAAAGGAAAACAATTTATCTTCACAATACAATGTTATAACCGAACGCTACCTGTTTTTTATGATAATCGCATGAAATGTTCTTTTGTAATAAAACTAAAAGGAGTCTACATATTTGGTTGCGGTTGAATTAAAGTTTTAATCACGCATCTATTCTTTTTTAATATTAACTATAAAGAATTATTTCTCTCACTCTCTCTTTCTCTCACACACACATGGACATATATATATATATATATATATATATATATATATATATATATATATATATATATATATATATATATATATATATATATAATTGATTCCATAGAAAAGTGCCGAATAAATTGCTATAATATTCAGTAGTAAACATATGGAGCGGTTATGCAAAAAATATAGCATTCTTATCGATAGACTAAGTACCAAGTACACATTATTATCATTATTATTATTATTATTATTATTATTATTATTATAAGTGTTATTATTGTTGTTACTATTATTACTCATTTCACAAGCATGTTGTATGCAAATACATAACACGTTACCTTACATTTTCATACTAAAAAAAGAAAATTCACTATATTCTCTGTACTTCTGAAATATCATATGTTGTGAAATATCATATGTTGTAATCTATCTATGTTCATGTCTAACTATTTGTTTGTCATATATTCATATCTATCTATCTATCTATCTATCTATCTATCTATCTATCTATCTATCTATCTATCTATCTATCTCAATCAGTTCGTCTATCTATCAGGACCTGTGTCTGTCTGTCTTACTATCTACAGAGAAGTATCTATATCTCTGTCTATCTATCTATCTATCTATCTATCTATCTATCTATCTATCTATCTATCCATCATTACTTATATAGAGAGAAAATAATGAGAGAAATATTTTTCCTTTCTTACAATCATGGCGAATTTACTGATTTCTAATATTGTAAACAACTTTCTACGACTCATTGCTTCAGTTTTGGCAGTGGAAGATGGACAGTTTTGTCAGTTCAGTGAACACACTGCAACGACTGATAACACACAGTATAAGTTATGGTGATTTATAAATATATATTTTAGCTTCAATGACACATGTAAGAATATATATTCTTTTTTATGCAAAACATAAACCTGCAAACTTGAAGACACTTTTGAATACTGTAATAAAATATTAAAATTTCAACAAAATTGAACAATATGTTAATCATTGCAAAAATAATGTCTTTTCAAAAATTAGGAATGTTCTTTTTATGAAAAAAGAAAAATATTTTTAAAATTTAAATGACGATGAAAAATTCAAAATAAACCCACCACGTCATGAAATTATAATAATAGTAGTAGTAGTAGTCGTAATAATAATAATAATAATAATAATAATAATAATAATAATAATAATAATAATAATCGGGTAATCACTATAAGAAATCTATAACAA